CCCCAGCATTACTGTTAACATTATTAATAACCGCAAAGAAGCTTGTTTATCAGACACCATTTTTAAGGGTTTGTATCACTGTGTTGCACTACATTATTGTTTAGGTTACACTGTTTTGCTTTCACTGGCACTCCAAGACGTAGAAAATGCATTACTTAGCAGTGCTTAAGTGTGTAAGACATTAACTAAACCTTTTGCTAGAAGACAGCATGAAGGTAATTTCCTGTGTGAAATTGGTTTCTTTTTTCGCGTGTCAAGGAAAAAGTATTCCCAGGCGGTAAAGTGGTTTAAAAAAAACAAAGAAAGAAAAACACCGGTTTTAGTAATCAAATCCTTTACTTAAGTTAAAGTATGGATCTTTATTGAAAATAAAAGTCCTGCATGGCAAAAAAAAAAAAAAAAACACTACTCGAGTGAAAGAAAATAAGTGAAAGCAAAATGTAGTTAAAATATTAAAGCAAAAGAACTATTCTGGTGCCTGTGATTGGTACATTATTTTACTGAAATGACATCATAGGATTATTATTGGAGGAAGCATTAGTGTGTAAGCAGCCTGTTTCATTTCTAGCTGCTAGAGATAAAATTAGTTTGAGCTGCTTTATAAACAGATTTATTTATTTGTTTATTTATTTATTTATTTGAATACCAGATAAATCTAAGAAGTTGGGAGGACTAATGAGAGAGGAGAGCAGAGGCACAAAATTTGTTTTCATTTTATGGACTTTATGTCCAGTCCTTGATATTTTAATTAGATATCTGACCATTCGACCTTTTATTGAAACAAAACCATGCAAAAAGCTGAAAGGGCAAAACAAAGCAGCATTTGGTGAACCAACTCACAGACATCTGAAATGTGGCTTTCACTAAATACACACTGCTTCTTTGTACAATGTCAGAAGCCAAAAAGGTGGGAAACTGAGTTTAACCATGTGTTGTTTTGTATTTTTAAAAGTTATTATAGCATCTATTATGTAAAAATGTCTATAGGGACTAAAACAGACTAATAAAAGACATGCAGATTTCTCTTAGTAGAAGGAAGAAGTAGCAAAAAAGAGTATAAATAAAAAGCACAAGTACCTCAAAACTGTACTAGAGAAACATAATTGGGTAAATTTACATTGTTACTTCCCAACTCTAGAAAGATCACACACTCTGGTTCATTCAGATTGGCATTAGACACATGTGAATGAACCAAGTGCGAATATCTGCTGGCATTTATGGTCATGCGAAAAAGAAAAGATTTCACACGACTGAGGAAAAAACGAAGGACATCCAAAGGAACTAAGGGGGTAAGTTGTTCCAGGTGCTGATAACCATTAGCTGATAATTAGCAAGTGTATCCATCTCTATAAAAGCAGAAGATTTGGCAGTTTGCTGGTCTGGACATAAGCTCACAATCATCCCAGAAGTGGATGTCTTAGCAGATTCATCCCAAGGTCAGATTGTGCAATGCTCAGAGAATCTTTAAAAAAAATAATCCAAAATCTACGTCTCTACAGGCTTCAGTTAGCGTGTTGAATGTTAAAGTTTGTGACAAGAAGACTGAACAAATATGGGTTGTTTGGAAGGGTTTCAAAAAGAAAGCATCTTCTCTCTAAAGAGAACATGGCAGAACAGCTTAGGTTTGCAAAGTTGCATCTGAAGGAAAACACAAGAACAGTGTCCTGGACCCCTGACAGTTGGTATGAGGTGCTTGTGCTGATATGCTGTCAGTGTGATAAAAGGCCAGTTTAGGACTGATTAATGTCAAACTTAGATATGTTTGGTACCAAACCAGGAAGCATATAAATTTGGGGGGTGTTTTAGGTTTTTCCTTATCCAATGTTACAAACATCCACTATGAAGGACACTTAAAAATAAAAGCCTCATATCACAAATATATTTTACTTTGTTTTTCTGTGCAATCACACAACTGAGTGGATTGGTAGATAGGTATACTGGACACGTTTTGCCGTTCTGATTTTTTTCCTGTGCTGATTGCAGTATTGTTCTTGAAGACCCAGCTACATGCTGAAATGCATCGGTCAATTAAAAAACTTCAAGTGCTGATGGAACGAATGGCTGGAAAAAAGAAAAGAATTAAAGTGTTGAAATGGCCCAGTCAAAGTCCGCACCTCAACCTGATTGAAATGGGACCTTAAGAGAGCTGTGCTTAAACAAATGCCCACAAAACACAACTGAACTGGAGCAACATTGTTAAAAAACAAAAAGAGCAGGCCAAAATACCTCACAGTGATGTGAGAAACTGATAAAATCATACATCATTAATGCTGCCGAAGGTGACTCTACAAGCTGCTGAATCATGGGATGCATATAGTTTTTCACAGGGCTGCAAAGACTTCTGCAAAAACTTTATTTTTCACATGACTGTATGTGTTCCTGGCGCCCAGTCAGTTTTATTGTCATTAGGGGGTTGTGTTAGTATTATGAGGCAGCTGGAGGAGAAAATTGCGACAGCAGCATGATGTTTGAATTTAGACTGCAGAGGAGTTAGGGAACAGGTATTCTCATAGGGTTTTTTGCAGCCACATACTTACATACATGTTCAAACACTTACTGTTGACCCCAGGATGTTCAGAAAAAAAATTGTTCACAGGGTTAGCCTCACAGCAGGAAATGAGATTCATTTGAATGAGCAGAGGAAACACTGCTGCGATAAGGAATGTGCATGCAAACTTGAACACTGGTGGAAAAAATTCACGATTAGCCAACACTTCAGAAATATTGCCTACATGAGCCCAAGTACATACTCCTTTAAAAAAGGAAAAAGCATAGGCAGACACAGACATGATTTATATCATATAATTATTTTACTGTCACCATGAATCACCAAGTTTATAAGAACAGACGTGCACAAGACTTTATACGAAGTATTACACAAACTGAAACACGATTTCTGATAGATGTCGTTCATAAAGAGATAGAAAAATGTGAATTTAATGATTGAAAACCTTGACATAACTTAGATGCGGTATGTGCAAGCAGCCTGTAAGTAAAATCTAAAACATCTTCCATGGTTAGTGCTTAATCTGGAGACCAGCATGTGCCTCAGAGAGAATCAATAAGGTTTAATTTAAGTTTTGCTTTGGAAAGATTTTTGAGTAAAAGTTGTGCCATAAAGAAGTCCCAAGGTTAGGTCTGTATCACAGAATGTATGGCCTCCCATTGCTTATTATGTTGATGCATGCATCAGATTAAAAACAGAGGTGGGCTGTTGTAACCAAAGATGAACCAAAATAGATTGTTTGCTTGTCTGCTGTTACTTAATAACACAAACAGACACCCACAGAAGCAAATCTCTGCCTGTGATACAGGCTTGCACTGGGTGGGTAAATGTAATTACCGATCTATCAGCCAGCCATGCCGCAAGCACTCAATTGACCATTATGGAGTTCCAGAGGACCAAAGAGCAGCATCACACTGTCTCGGACTATAATGAACTTAAACCAAAACCCAAGTGCATCTGAGACCAGTTCATGTAATAATGCTCACACATGTTCAGGAGGGCTGAGAAGTGCTAGAAAACTGGCCTCTTATTGAAGAGGAAAATGAGTCGAGTGCAGAGCCGCAACAGTTTGACAAAGAGTAAGAGGCTGCTGCGGACATAATGTTTGCAAATGCTCCAAGAGCACAAGGATCAACCACAGTTGTGTGCTACAAATATGTGGAAGCCCAGATGTCTCACAAAGAGTAGATTTTGCTGCTGCTTTTAAACTGAAAGTGAAAACGGATTTTTTGTGTTGTTCGGATTTCGTCATTACATATTTGTCGTCCTTAAAGCTTTACTTACCCCTGCGTTAATAACAGCAGCAACGGCAACAATATAAAGACTGTCAAAAGTTACACGATGAGCATCTGAATCTGTCGGTTTTATCATTTATTGCAAAACAGAAGTTGCTTAAACTTCGTCGTGGGTGTATATTACCATCCACCCACACAGAAAACACGAAAAGCGAGCAAAGTGGACTTCACTTTTTTTAAACGCGTCCTTTGGTGTCCTCTTTAGTGTTTACCTCTAAAATCCAGAGCTGTCTGCAGCGCTCAGGGTTGACGTTGAGCACAAAAGGCACCCTAATCCCAGGCTGAATATGCATGACGCGCCGTGCACTGCTGTGGGTGTTCGCGGTTTAATTTCAGCACCGCGTTAAGGAACAGCGCCATACGTTGCTGAGACACACCGTGAGCCTCAGCTGCTGCTTGTTCCAGAGCTGCTCTTTGACGGCAACCGGCGCAGTTTGACAGGCCGAGCCGGGGAAATACGCTTTTATCTGTAATCAAATCATCAGCCCCGAGATTGCAAGTGAGAGAGATTTCCTCTCCCCCACCAGACGATGCCAGGATCTTATAAAACCATGACGCTTTAACTTTCGTGCCTTCAGAGTGTGTGTGTGTGTGTGGGGGGGGCATGAGAGGGAGAGATGGACGTAAGTACGGGTTGCCATCGGTGGGTTTAAATCACATGCAAGGATATACAGTTCAAAATAGATTCTCCCATTTCCTTGTTGATGCGCACAATAAGAATTAAAGAAAAGGGAAGAAAAGCTGGAAAAAAGAGAAAGTGCGGGGGGGGGGCTTCAGTTCGGAGTTACTCAAGCACAACATGCACTGAAGTGATCCCCGTCCATCCCAGACCCACGCGGACACGGACTGCATATTATAGTCTACAGCAGACAGAAATCCGGTCCGGTGCAGCCCCCTAGGAGAGAAAGCAGGCACACACGCACGCACATACAGATCGCGGGGGTGAGGAGAGGGGGAGAGAAGAAGAGAGAGTGTGTGTGTGTTTCTGAGAAAGAATCTGAGCCACTTCCACCTGCCTGCGCTGGAGAACGATAATAACAACTAGCTCTGCTCTGGATGGATTTACCGTCCCTCCCTCCAAGCGCCGCGGAATTTCATTCACAAGACAGGTGACTGTAAACCACTCTGCCAATAAATATAGAGCAGAAGGGAGGGAGGGGGAGGTGTGTGTGTGGGGGGGGGGGGGGAGACAGAGAGGTCAGATGTTTTCCCTTTCTTTTCTGTTGGAGGTGCGTGAAGAGAAGGCGCACCTGCGAGAGTGTCTGCTGCTCTCTTCTTTACTGAGAACTCAAATTGGGGTGCCGCTGTTGCTGTTTGGCTGAGGCTGCCTGCACTTTACAGACTCGACCAGTGGACAGGGGGGGGGAAGAGAGAGCGAGAGGAGGGGTGAGCGAGAGAGGGGGTGTGTGTGAAACAGAGACTGGATGGATCCCTCTCTTCCTCTGGCACTCCACAGGCGCTCATTCATTTATTTAAGCCTGGCCGACGACAGCATGCCAAACGCAGACTCCAGCATCAGAGCTCGGTCAGTAGGCTCTAGCATCCTCATCTATGAAACTGTCTCTCATTCTTTTTAGTCTTTTTGTCTCTTCTGTGCTCACGCATTTACACGAACGCGCGCATCTAAGAAGCAGGTACAGTCTTAATAAACAGCAATTCTCCTCTCTTGTCTTTTTCTCGCGCAGACAGAGACTTTCCAACAGAGGACAGCAGGAGTGAGACCCCCCTCCTCTTCTCGCACCGCTCCGACAACGTTCCTACCTGCACAGCCTCCCAGCAGGACTTGACTTGGCGCTCATCGGACACCGCCGACACCCAGGACCAACGTGGGAAAAAAAACATTTATGGGCCCCAAACCTCGCGAGGCCCCCGGGATGGCGTGCAGCGCGTGCTACTACCTGGTTATCAGCTCCACACACCTGAGTAATGGACACTTCAGGCGCGTCAAGGGAGTCTTCAGAGGACCTCTGTGTCCATCCGCAAACAGTGACTCACCGGTAGGACAGCATACAGGCTCTGACAGATTTCTCTAGATGTGTGTGGGTTTGAGCAATCAAGTTTGAAAGAGTTCAAGTGAAGTGTTTTTTTTCCCTCTATTTTTGGAGATATGGGATTTATAACGTATGTAAAGTTAAGTGATGTCATAGGAAGTCCAAGTATAGGGAGGAAAATGTGTGTGTGTGTCTGTGTGTGTAAACTGTGGGAGAAACACTCAAGTGCCCAGCAGACCCAGTCGTGCTGTCATACGGTACTGAATAGGTGAATATTTCTGCAGAGGATGATAATTTCCTGAGCCTTAAGGAGATTTTTTGATTGGGGGAGGGGGGGGGGGCAGGAGATGTGAATATTTTAAGCTTAGGGAAAAAAATTGGTGTATCCAACCATGAAGCCATTGTCCCTCCTTGCCCCCTTCTCCCTCTCATGGCTATGGGAATTAAACGAATCAAATTACATTAGTTCTTTGAGGAGGAAATGAGTTGCCCTGACAAAAATAGGCCTAATTACCTGGGGAGTATTTGTACGTGTTTGTTTTCTCTCTCTCTCTCTCTCT